AAAAGAGCACCACATGAGGGGGGGGGGCGGTACCAGTGCCCCCCAAAAGAAGAAGGGCCCCCAGAATGCGGGCCAGCCTGTCGGGGAAGCTGGTGGGAGTGCGAAAGCGATCCCCCGCCCCGACACAAGGGCCGTCGTGGAACACCCTTGGGTTTTTAGTGGGTAGTGGCAACGAGTCCCACATACCCCGCTGTTTTCTAAAAACGGCGGGGATGCGTAAATGCATTTTCCCAAGGATAACCAAAAAAAAAAAAATGATATGACGGCTATTAAAATAAATAACTAAATATATAATTCAGTTCCATTTAATAATTTGGTATTAAAACTCTACTGTAACTTTAAATCGTAGTAATGAACTCATAATAAAATCCACATTTAAAAGACTAAATCTGGTTTATATACTGTGTTACTATATTTGAGAGAGTAATGTGTGACGGGAGAGTTAATTGGAAACCGCTGAGTACCAGGTTCAAAGCACTAGAAACAACAATTGGCGCCCTTAATATGAGTTATTTAATGAACGAATAGTATCACTGTTTCGGGACTCGAAATTGGGAAAGCTGAACTTCGTAGACACATCACGTAATAATTCAATGTCTCAAGGATGTTGTAATTCAGAGAAATAAATTGTATTATATTAAAGGGATAATTTATATATACGAGTACATATATATTATATTTTAAGGAAAAATGTCTTTTGTATTTTTATAAAATAAATAATCATTGTTCACGATAATACAACTGACAATAGTTTAATTTCTTGCAATTTCGTTTTTGCTATCAGTCATATTGTTTTAAATTAACATATATTTTTATTTGTTGTAAGATTTTGTAGTATTTTCTATGACAATGATAGAGTGGAACAAAAATAAAAAAATTTGTCTTATTTGATTTTTACGTATGTACTTTATAATGACAGATCAATATATAAATATATCAATATCAATCAATATAAATATAATATCGAAATTTAAAAATATGAAGGTCATGAAATTATTAATAATTTCTGCCCTTAAATTTTTTTTGTCTAAAGTCCTCTAATGTATTTTTGGTATTTTCAAATTGATGAATTTTTATTAGTATTTACTTAAAGTAGTACACCCATTATTGTTAAAATCGTTTCATTAGGTACAGTTTCGCTTTTAATTTTTTTATATGAAATTTTCACTTTTGTATTTGGACACGAATGCAAAAAAGTTGATGACTGTCATAAATAAATTACTTAGGAAGAAAATAATTCACAACCGCTAATCATATTATAATTTGCAAGAACGTGAAATAGGCAAAAAAAAAAAATTCTGAATTAAAAGAAAAGTTAATATGTCAATGCAGTGGTACTCTTTTTTTTAAGTAACCTATGTATTTTATGTGAGGAATTTCATAACAGTATTAAATGAAAGTAAGTTTTTTTTATTATTTTACCACAACAAGATCACGGGCAAGCGAGTATAAAGTGTCTGAAAAACTGACTTTTATTAATGAAATAAATATTCAAATCATAAAAGTTCTGCAGGTATTAGTAAAAATAAAATAGTATATATGGATGTCGTAGAATATTCTTTAAACATAACACGTTCGTTGGTACATCAAGAGAAGCAGCGTGTAATTTGAATACGACATCTTGTTTTATTTCGCTGCACATTTATAGTAGTCACAATAACTTAACGTGTAAGAAATAAGTAAATAGCATAAAAGTAATTTATATTTGATAATTTTACTTCTAAGTCTGTATGTAACCTTGAGAAAACTAACGATAACTACTTAGCAACCGACTTCAAACGTCTGTAGTAATGATAACTAAGGTATGCTCCATTGTTTGTTCAATATTTAAATTTGGATTGGAACAAGTTATACTCTGAGAAAGCTTTTACCTAACAATCATTCAAAACTGAATAGATTTGTCTTATGTATAAAATTCTCGTGTCGCGGTGTTAGATAGAGAACTCCTCCGAAACGGCTGGACCGATTTAGATGAAATTCTATGAGCATATTGAAAATCGGTCAACATCTATTTTTCATACCCCTAAGTCACGAGGGTTGTTGACCCTTAATTTTTTTTTCGGACGAAATTTTTTGTTATCATTTTTTATAATGTAGCATTAAAAATACATAAAACCAAAATTTTCATTTTTTTATCACCAACCCCTATTTTTTTATATGGCAAAACAACGTTTGCCGGGTGAGCTAGTATAAAATAAAATCATTTTTATTTGTGAATCGAGTCAATTGCTATTTTAATTTTTAATCCTCGTCACAAGAAGAGGGGTGTTACAAATTTAATATCGACATTTGTGTACGTTTGTCCACTGACAATCTGACAAAAAGCGTCTAAGCTATTAAAACACAGACGAATTTCGATGATTTTTTTCTACTAAGTCGCAGTGGTTTTCAATGCTTGTTTAATAGGTAGCAGCAGCACCAGCAATGAAAGAGTATTATTTCTTTTCTAAGAATGAAGTAAGGCATTTTTAGCTGGTGGACACTCTATAATATGCTTCACACGTGTCTCGAGGCTCAATAATAAATTAAAAATTGAATTGAACTCACGAGTACCAAACTGAATTAAAGGATAATTGTAAGTCACAAGTATAGTGCTAAATTATTATTCAATAAATATTTAACTGTACAAATGCCTGAATGAAATATTAGAGAATGATTTTACTGTTGCTACTTATTGATGCAAAAAAAATAAAATATAATCGTTTATAAATTATGTATAAAAAAAAGCTTTTGTTTTTTTTAAATTTCAATAAAAATATTTCTCTATTAAGTTGCTTTACTTTAATACTTACATATTGTAAGGAGTTCAATACTTCAGTGCATAGTCTCAAGGATGTATGCAATAATGAATTCAATCGATACTATATAGCAGGCCAGGTGATTTGATTCCCATAAATAGCGTACCAGCTGGTTTGATATTAATAAAAATGAGCAAAATACAATACAGTTGCGAAAAGTTAGTTAAATGAATTATGATTTAAACGATGTATACATTATATGTTAGTACAAAACTATTGTTGTTGTAAGAAATTTATATGAAAATCATAATATAATTAAACATCCTCCTACCGTCGTCAAACAACGTACTGTGAGATGTTATATAAAAATTTATATTAATATCTTTGTAGCCTCCTTTTGTTTGTTCTTGCCGGAGTTACATAAACATAATTTGCCTGATAAATAAGAATGTTTTTAATTTATTTGTTTCATTACTATATTTATCTAAACTATTTAACTATAGAATTGACACAGAATTTCATTTTATAAACATAGACAATAGTTTTATTTAAATAAAAAAAGGAATAAAATGATTTTTCGAAATTCGTATTTAAAACTACCTTTCTAAGAGTTTCAATGTTGATCTTCATCTTTCATGGTTTATCATAATTCTCATATTATTACCACAAATAAAGAGAAACGTACATCAGAAACGGAACTAGGTAAGCAGGTTCATAAAAAGCATTTAAATTTGAAAATTACTTATAATAAACCATAATTTACAAAATTCATGTACACGTGAAATAAAAAAAAAAAAAGGTTTCAATATTATGTATTTAGTATTATTCGGATCTCTTAACTTTACAGACAGGGTTGGCGGCAGACTGAATTAGATTGACATGTGCCATTCTCTCCCAACTTGCCACTTACATAACTTAGGAGGAGAGTTGAATCGGAGCGAGGTTTATATCACTAAATATTTCAAGTGACATTACTGAAAAAATATATGGTTTATTGAAATAACAACTTTATGCAATTTGAATTGGAATAATTGCTATTGCTTGAAATTATTTCACATTTTACTAATTATTATTAATAAATGTTACTTCTAAATTGTAATGGAATAAATTTTTTATTTAGGCGTATTTAAAAAAAATCTTATCGCTGCCAAGATCTTATAATTGCGTAGAAATCGTTTTGATTAATTCTTAGTATTTAATGTTTTTGAATACACTTTTGAAAAATATTAACTATTTGTGCATAATTAATGTTAATCTTAAAGTTTTTTTTTTTTTTTTTTTTTTTTAGAAAAGTGATTGAATTAACTTATCTATGGACAAGTTACAGAAAAGGTAAGGTTTTGGTATTAAATTTTCATAAATTAAAATATTAACAATTACACCTGAAAAAAGTTACTCTGACTGAAGTTAGATCTTGAGTGATGTCCCGGGGCAGTTTCTGGTACTGCTACCGGGCGCGTCCCCAGGTGGCGGATAGGGGAACGGCTCCCAGATATGGGGGTTACCGGCTAGGCGGCGTGGACCAAAACCAGTGACGACTCGGCTTGCCGGGTCGTCAAACTCGTAACCCTGTACATAGTACAGGGCCGAGGACTGCCGCCCTCAGGTGAGGGCGGGGGTCGCGTGGAAGAAAACCACTCTAAAAAATCACCTCTGGCGTCGGGAAGTGACGAATCCATCGCCCGCCGGGTAATCGGCGCAATCAGTCGCGGGGTGGGGTGGGCTTAGGTTAGGTTAGGTTTAGGTTAGGTTAGGTTTAGGTTAGGTTAGGTTTGGCGTCGGGAAGTGACGAATCCATCGCCCGCCGGGTAACCGGCGCAGTCAGTCACGGGGAGGGGGACCTTGGCCCTCTTTTGGGGTCTTGGTCAGGGCTGGGGGTTCAGCCCGATGAATGGAAGGTTTTTATGAATGTGGATGGATGCGGAAATGAAAGGTTTATGAATGTGGATGGATGTATGGTGATGGATGGGCTTTTACGGCCCCTAATCTTTGACTTCGGTGTTCGGTCTTGGGATGCATGGCGAGCGGGTGAGCTCGTCCTAAGAACACCACCAACAAAAAACTTATGAAATGGCGTCTTGTGGAAAAAAACTACCCCAGGAGGGTCCCAGCCACCAAGTGGTTGGGGAATCCCTCACCGGTACGCCGGTCAGCCCCTCGTATTCTGGGGGGGGCAGCAAACGCCTGGAGGGTCCTTCCTCTAAGGGCCCTCTGAGACGAGGTGCAGTGGGCACGGACCCTGGCGCGACTAACGGAAATGAAATGCTGACACGGACTGGATCTGACGACATGGCACTCTTGACGGACTCCGATACATTACGGAAAGGACTTGTTGCGAGATCGGACACTGACGACACGGCATGTTTAACGGACTTGCGGAAGAGATCTGATGGAGGTGAGAAGCGAGCTATGACTCCTTCTGCCCTACCTCCTCGCGTCTTAAGGGGTCGCTTCCTAAAAACGAAGGAAGGCTCTTCTAAGGGCCACTCTGGGGGGGACTCGGACACTGTCTCAAGGCCGGTCACCCCCACTCCCGGATTTGGACCTAGAGACGACGACGGGTCGATGTCGGATGCCTCCATGCATTCAACAGTCTCGACGGTGACTGCGACGCCTATGAAGAGGCCCAGCACCGTCCTGTATGGAGAATCGGACGCAGAGAACCCCGCGGGCGCTGTTGCTAAAAAGAAGCCGGCTGCTCGTAGGGGTAGGGGCGCACGTACCCCTTCGTCTGCGTCCGTGAGGCCCGCTGCCAAAACGGACTTGACATCTGCTTCTGAGGAGGAGCCTTGCCCCGGCCCCTCTTACAGAAATGCCTTGGTTGGGACGGCTAGGAGCTCCTCTACAAGCCCTAGGCCCACGATAAACTCCCTGGACCGACAGGAACTCAGGTCCCTTGCCGATCAGTGCGTTGTTCGACTTTTTAACGTCGCGAAAACGTCGAACAACCTCAAGGGGCCCTATGTCAGGGACATCAAGGAGGCCGCCCAAACTATGAGCGACATAGTTGAGATGCTCGCTAATCGGACGGCCTCGGAGGAGTTGCGGCGCTTGTGGGCAAACAATGCTCGTCTCGAGAACGAGAACGAGCACCTGAGGACCGAACTCAGGGCCCTCAGGAGGGACTTCTCTGAAAGGAAGAAGTCCCCTGCCCGTGAGCCCGCGCCGGCGACAGAGCCTCCCCTCGGCATCTCGGATATGCTGGGAGAGCTGCAGCGGGCATTGACTCTCACCATGGGTGAGATGATCAATGCTCGCATCGCTGGCCTGGAGGACCGCCTTCTTCCGGCGAAGAGGGTCCGTCCGCCACTACAGGCGGACTTAAGGAGGGAGGTGGAACCGGTGGCCGGGCCCTCCAAACCAGCCGCAGCCCAAGCGGCGAAGAAGGCGTTTTCGAAGAAGGACCCCGGTCCCAAGAAGGGCCCTGCTCCAGCGCAGGCCAAGAAGGCCCCGGTGCAGGCCAAAAAGGCTCCGGTGCCGCCCAAAAAAGGATCGCAGTCGGCCAAGAAGGCTGGTCCTAGTGCCACCACATCCCCTCCGTCCACCGTGACGGACGAGGCGCGTGGTGAGGCCTGGACGACGGTCACCCGAAAGGGTAAGAAGAAGAAGAAGCCGTCGTCCGGTGCCAAGCAGGCTCAGCCGGATCCCTCCGCCGGTAAGGTCAAAAAGAAGGAGGTGAAGCTGACCCCCCCCAAATCGTCCGCTGTGTCCATTACACTGACACCGGAGGCCACAGAGAGGGGGGTCACTTACCAGCAGGTGCTAGAGAAGGCACAGAGCGCCATTGACCTGGGGCAACTTGGCATTGGCGCTCTGAAATTCAGGGTGACCAGCACCGGGGCCCGCATGTTTGAGGTCCCGGGCATGCAGAGCGGGGAAAAGGCCGACCTTCTCGCGGAGAAGCTGCAGGAGGTCGTTGGAGAGGTGGCCAGGGTACGGAGGCCAGTGAAGACTGCGGACCTCCGCATCACTGGCCTCAGCGACGCCGTTACACCGGACCGCATCGCTTCAGCGGTGGCCGAGAAGGGAGGATGCCCTACTAGTGCGATCAAGGTGGGCCCTGTCCGCATGGGACCTCGCGGTCAACGGTGGGCGCTAGTCGTGTGCCCAGTCACGGCCGCGAAAAAGTTGGTCGGCGGGGGGCCGCTCAGCATCGGATGGGGCTCGGCGAAAGTCCAAGCACTTGAGCCTCGTCCGATGCGTTGCTTTAAGTGTATGGGCACAGACCACACCCGGTCCACGTGTCCATCACTATGCGACAGGAGCGACTTGTGTCACAGGTGCGGTGTCGCCGGGCACAAAGCTGCCGGATGCCTCGCACCCGCCAGGTGTGTTGTATGCGCCGAGGCGGGCCGACCGTCAACGCACACCATGGGGGGAAGGGCTTGCCGCCCACCCCCAACTAAATCGAAGGCAGCGAAAAGAACCGTCGCTGCCCCGTGCCAGGTCGAGCCCCAACAAGGGACACCGGAGGTTGTGATGAAGGAACCTTGATGGCTTGCAATCACAATCTCCTTCAGGGCAACTTGAACCACTCCGCCGGTGCACAGGACCTTTTCCTTCAGCACCTGGTGGAGTGGCAGATCGGTCTGGCAGTGGTCGCGGAGCCATATTTTGTCCCCAATGACCACCCGAATTGGGCAGGGGATGTGGACGGCCTCGTGACCATAGTTTCGGGGGGAGGAGCTGGCAGTCCTTCTCTCGTCCTCAAAGAGTCGGGGCGGGGCTACGTGGCCGCCACTTGGGGAGGGTACGCCTTCGTTGGCGTGTACTTCTCCCCCAACAAGCCCCTGGCGGCCTTAGAGGCCTATCTTGAAGCCCTAGGTCCCGTGGTCAGGAGACTGGCTCCCTTGCCGGTCTTTGTACTCGGGGACTTGAATGCTAAGTCCTCCAGCTGGGGCAGCGCGGTCACGGATCCACGTGGGAGAGCGGTGGAGGAGTGGGCCGCTGAATTCAGCGTGACTCCGGTCAATCGGGGCACAACCCACACGTGCGTGCGTGCGCAGGGCGGTTCGGTGGTGGACGTCACGTTCGCCACCCCTGTTGCTGCGCGCCGTGTGAGGAACTGGCGTGTCCTCGACGTGGAGACACTCTCGGACCACAATTACATAAGGTTCGAGATCTCCACGTCCCCTGCTCCGGCCGAGAACTCCCTCCAACGTGTTCTGACGGCCTCTCCGCGGTGGGTTCTCTCTCGGCTGGACCGGCAACTGGCCGAGGAGGCCGCAACCGTCCAAGCCTGGTGTACTCCCTCCATCAGGCCGATGGACCCCGACTCCGCCGCGAGACGCCTCCGCTCTGCGCTGACGGCGGTGTGCGATGCGTCCATGCCCCGGGCGCGACGCCGCCCTCAGAGGCGGGCGGTGTACTGGTGGTCAGCGGAGATTGATGCGCTTCGGACCACCAGCAATAATGCAAGGCGACAGTTATACCGCTGCCGCCGTCGCGCCCGCAGGGATGTAACCGAGGAGGCTTTCCTCGATGAGCGGTACCGGGCGGCTAAGGCGGCCCTACGTACAGCCATCAGCGGGGCCAAGGCCGCGGCAAGGGAGGAGTTGCTGGAGGATCTCAACCGTGATCCATGGGGGCGCCCGTACAAACTGGCGCGGAAGAAGCTCCGCGTCCAGTCGCGCCCCATATCGGAAACCCTCCAGCCAGAGTTTCTGGACCGGGTCATCGGTGCTCTTTTCCCCTCCGACGGCTCGGACCACACTCCTCCAGAAATGGTCCCCTCAGAGGCTCAGGCAGAGGAGGACGATTTGGAGGCCCCTCCTGTCACCTCTGATGAATTGGAAGAGGCAGCGAGGTGCCTCTTGACAAAAAGGACGGCCCCGGGTCCAGATAGGGTCCCTGGCAAACTGGTAGGGATCGCCCTTAAAAGACTCGGGGATCAGTTTCGGGAAGCGTTCGATACAGCTCTAATTTCCGGGCGCTTCCCGAAAACGTGGAAGGACGGGGCGCTGTGCCTCCTTCGTAAGGACGGTAAACCGGAAGACTCCCCGTCCGGTTACCGTCCGATCGTCCTTTTGAGTGAGTCCGGAAAGATCTTTGAGCGAGTGCTCTCTTTCCGGCTCACTCAGCACTTGGGTGTCGACGGGCCCGGACTGTCAGACTGTCAGTTCGGGTTCAGGGCAGGGCGTTCGACACTGGACGCCCTATCTGCCCTGAAGTCGCACTCAAAGGAGGTTGTCGCGCGAGGGGGCAGGGCGTTGGCCGTCTCAATAGACATCGCCAACGCCTTTAATAGCCTCCCCCATGCAACCATAATGGAGGCACTCCGCCATTTCAGACTGCCTCCCTACCTCCGGAGGATCTTGGCAGACTACCTCCGGTATAGAGAGGTAGTCTGCACTGGTGCTGGTGGAAGGAGTTTCCGCCGCCAGGTGTTGTGTGGGGTTCCACAGGGGTCGGTGCTAGGTCCACTCCTGTGGAACATTGGCTACGACTGGGTGTTGCAGGGTGCGCTGCCACAAGGTGTACGCGCCCTGTGTTACGCAGATGACACCCTAGTCGTAGCCGAAGGAAGGACCTTCGGGGAGGCGGCGCGACTGGCCGAGGAAGGTACAGCCTTAGTCGTCAGTCGCATCCGCCTCTTAGGCCTGAAAGTGGCCCTAGAAAAGACCGAGGCCCTCATGTTCCATGGGCCTCGGGCAGGGCCTCCTCCGGGCGCGCACATTGAGATCGGTGGCGTGCGCGTCCCAGTCAAGGCCCAGATGAAATATCTGGGCCTGACGTTGGATGGGAGGTGGGGGTTTGAGGCACATTTCCGCGTCCTCACCCCCAGGTTGGTGGCCGCCTCAGCAGCTCTAGGGCGGCTTTTACCCAACCTCGGAGGCCCGAACGGGGGTTGCCGGCGCCTGTACGCCGGCGTCGTTCGTTCCATGGCGTTGTACGGTGCCCCAATTTATGCCGACGCCATCACCGCCACCAATAGATCGCTGCTCCAGCGTGCACAGCAGATCGTGGCGGTGAGGATAATCCGGGGCTACCGTACAGTGTCGGCGGGAGCGGCCTGCGCCTTAGCCGGAACGCCCCCTTGGGACCTCGAGGCGAAGGTCCTGGCCGCTATATACGAGGCTAGGACGGCGGCCCGGAGGGAGAACCGTCCTGCGACGAACGAAGAGCTGCTCCAAGTGCGCCGCGACGGCGAGGCGGAGATGCACAGGAGGTGGACCATGGCTCTCCAGGAGGCGAAGTACGGCCGGTGGACGATCGACGCTCTACTCCCCGTCCTCGAGCGTTGGTCGAGGCGCAAACACGGCGTCCTCACCTACCGGCTGGTGCAGGTTTTGTCCGGACATGGTTGTTTCGGACACTACCTGCACAGGATCGCTCGGCGCGAGCCGACGATGGAGTGCCACCACTGCGGAGACGTTGATGACACGCCACGGCACACCCTCGAAGTGTGCCCAGCCTTCAGTCGTCAGCGTCACGACCTCACGCAAGTGGTTGGCACCGACCTCGCACTCTCGAGTATCCTGGCGTCGATGCTCGAGAGTGAGGAGAACTGGAGGGCCATGACCTCCTTCTGCGAAGTCGTCCTGATGCAGAAGGAGGAGGCGGAGCGGGTCCGAGAATCTAACATCAACTCGGACCAGATGCGCCGCCGCCGCCTCGGGGTGAGAAGGAGGAGGTACGCCCACCTCCTTCCGCCCACCTAGGAGGTCAGAGGGTGGACTGGTCGGGGGACCGTCCGCCCTGCTGTCACTGGCCTCCTGGAGGAAGGGCGCTCAAGTTTACCGGAGCGCCCTCACATAGGGAGAGACCCGCCTTAGGAGCGGGTCGCTGTCGCCGGGGCTACGAGGTAGAATGCGCAAGCGACCCCTTGTAGTCCCCTCATAGCGGCTGAAGGTAACCGGGTGGGTTTTAGCCGGTAAGAGTCCGGCATAATCACACGCCCCCCCCGGGGCGTGTGGTATCCATGAGGATTTCCCACCCGTTAAAAAAAAAAAAAAAAAAAAAGATCTTGAGTGATGTATTTTATCCAAGTGACTTATTCTGATTATTGTACTACGAGATGCTGGGAACACAGATGGTAGGTGCAATCGAATTCTCTGTATCGTTGACTTTTTGGAACACAGGTGACTGCTGCAATCGAATTTCAGGTATCTCCCTCCGCGGAGATGCAAACGTAGTATTTTCCAGTAGCCCGTATCAACTGTCAACATGGGCAGTTAAAACTATAATATATTTTTTTAGCTCGACGTAACACGTTTCTATGTTTTATTGTTTTTGTTATGCCTCCTCAAATATGTTCATTTTTATTGAACCTAGTATGAAACTTGGCAAAAAATACCAAAATTTATTCCGGGGTTATCCTAATTATTTCATTAACTACAAACATAATCAGTTTTTTGTACTCTATAAAACGTTATTTAAGAAGTTTCTGTGTAAGGTGAGGCAACAAATAACTTCAACTCAAATCTATTACAATCACATAGTCTGAAATATACGTTCCTTAGAAGCATTTTATTGTTTCATAAGACTGCGGTTTAACAAGAATTTTAAGTCTTCATTTTACCTCGTGTATGAATATCTATGTGCCTTAATTAGTTTAACCTAACTGAGTAATAAATAACTTCAGAACGTTACTTCAAAATAAAACTTCAAATCTTCTAAATATCTTTGTATTTCTAGAAGATTTTGTATTCTTTAACGGTCCACACTGAACTAACTTTGCGCTCCACAGTGGTATTAATACCAAAATACAAAAATAGGTGTGTTCTCTTTTGAAATAGTTTTAATTTCGTTTTACTTCTAACAATAATTATGGCTAACAATAAGTTTTTATAATCTTTAAATTTGCAGAATCGAAGACAACCATAAGTTTATTTTATGTGGCACCCGTCATTAGTGCAGATAGTGCTTATACATTATGTAGGCGTTCACTTTGTTTATTAGAAAGCGATTGAAATTATTACAAACTAGGTATAAATAATTTTATTCTTATTTCTAAATAGTTCATAATATTTAAAAAATGTAGAATTCTTGTAGTCGCCATAAGCTCACTGAAAAGTCCCTTAAATGAAGATGATAATTTGCTTGCCTGCAATAGTGAAATGCATTCGTAATGAAAATTCATCACAGAATTCTTCCCAGTTGAGTTTAGTTTTTCAGAAGTCTTTGAGATGTAAAATGTAACCAGTACATGCATGGTGCTCTCTGTCACTGCTTCAAATGTACATATGTATATCAAATCAATTCGTCTTTCTATAATTAAGAGTTTATGTGATGATTTATATTTTCTAGAAGGCAGAGTAGTAAAAAATAAAAAAAAAGTTATGCAATCTATTTCCATTCTTTATTTTATTATTTTAATTATTCAAGCAACTTGTTTTGTCACTCATGTTTCATTAACAAAGTAGAAGACTATAAATATATTATAAAACTTATGCATATGTGCAGACGATAAGGTTTAAGGTCCTCTAATTGCATTTTATTTCATCATTCTTTAAATTACACTTTAAATTTATAACCCTCCTGCACATTTCGGCGCATTTTATGAAAAGTAAATGTCTTTACCATAGCCATTTCTCATCAATTCTGTGAACCGTGATAGCAACCGTAACTAATCATTGATTATATCCATTTGTGGCGAACACTAATTACTGATTAAATCCTGCTCTTGTGGTTCGATTGTTTGAAATGTGAATTACAGCAGTGCTAAATTGAACTGTAAATTTATTTTACCATTAAACAAGCACAGGTAAAATATTTTTTTAATCAGGTAATTTTTATTTTTGTTGATGTGTGATATGCTTTAAATAATTATATCTTTATTATTTGGGTAAATATTTAGGTAATATTGGTATGAGTGCTGTTTGCTCCGCTTTATAACGAGTTTTTAAGCTAAAGATCTTTAAATACTTGACACTGTAATTCAGAGCTCCTTTTGACACGCTTAAGTCTTTGAATTTTATGTAGGCTATTGCCGCTTTAGGCTATCGCCTATACGGTAACAGCACTTTAATTTTGAAATTGTGAGAACTTGGACCATACTGATGCAGTTTTATTTATAAAAAATATATAGAGTAATTTCGTGGTACTTCTTCAAGATTGTGTGGAAAATTGCAATTTTAACAATTGTATTAAATTCTATTTGTTTATTTATTTATTTATTACAATTATGTTGGTATTTTTTTACATATATGTCTAAGTTTTCACAGTGTCTCATAAACCAATATTGGTTTTTCCGTACACTGGAATTCATCGTCGTTAATTCATAATTACATTGACATCTCAATACATTTATACTTAATTAATTAAACAGTAAAAGACATCTAGCCAATAATATAATGATACGAGTATGACAAAATAGAGTAGTAAAATTAACTAAAGATATAAAAATAATGTAAAGTGCATAATCTAACAAATAAGTAACACATGCAAGGTAAATGTAACCTGATTATTATTTTTCAATATGTACATATTTACAGTATTGCACGTTTGTCGTGAATTATCACTTTATCCATTGTTCAATTTTAACATGAAATTAAAAAAATAATAAGTTGGTATAATGTAGACAAACAATGTAAACACACAGGTTCATATTCTTACAATATTTCTTTCAATTCATTATTTTTATTTATATTTTTTATTTGAGTAATTTATTTCAAAAATATTTTTTTATTTGTATCTAATATTACATTCCTTCAATTCTCTTTTTAAACTATCTGGGAGATCATTCGTCAATTTAGGTATTTGATATTTTAGCATTTGTTTGCCATAAAGATTACTGTATCCTGGTATGGTATACTTAATTTTAGAGGCGCTGCGTGTATGTTTTGTTAATATTTAGATACGGATTATTAAACAAATTTTCTTTAAGTAGTATGTTCTTGACCTGGTCATGAATTGGTAGACTATTCGTTTTATGAAATAATTCGTTGGTATTGTCACATTTATACCTAAGTTTTATGGGCACTATCGTTTTAATAATACGTAACTGTAAATCATATATAGGATCAAAATGCGATTTAAACGTTCTTTCATAACTACTGCGGCCATAATATATAGTTGTCTCTCCAAGAGCTTTGTATAAGCTTAAGATAGTGGAGTATGGAATTTTTTGTTTTATTATGCTAAATTTGGCCAACATAGCACGTAGTTTGTTACATACTTAGTTAATATGATCGGTCCATTTAAATCTGTCATCAATAAGCAACCCTAGATATTTATGTTTACTTACAACTTCTATTACTTCGCAATTACAATGTTGATAATAATCGTTATTATGGAGACAATGTGCTACAACTTTTGGAATCATGTTGCTACGGTTTTGAGTAGATCTCATTTACATAAGTTTAGTTTTTTCTGCATTTAACGCAAGTCCTACGTCATGTGACTATTAAGAGAGATTAATTAAGTAAATTTAAAATAATACTTATAAATTTTCAATAGAGAAAATTATTGCCGGTATTGTGAACTTAAACATAGTTCTATTCTCCTTTTAAACAGTCTTTGAATTCGTTTTACTTTTAACAATAATCATGAATACTAACGAGTTTGTATAATAATTGATGACAGGCTCAAGTTATTTTCACGGTGCATCCGTCATTAAAGCTGATAGCGCCGATATGTACAATATAAGCCATATAACACTACTGCACACGTCAATTCTGTAATTAAGTGGATATATAACAATGGACCCAATTATAGTTTTAAAAATAAATTCATACGGAAGCCTTCTGTAAAATTTTTATTAGTAATTTAAACGTACAAAAATTAAAACAAAGTCTTTTATTTTAAAGAAATTGTATCCCAATTACATACTTGGTTAGGGATATGAGTTAGTGTGAACAACATAATGTGTATTAGAAATCAGTGCTCGGAACATCCCTCAGCGACACTCATAATGTAAGCATCGTCCCAACAAGGAGGCAATCTTTCTACTTCCAATTTGTTTTTATATTCCTTGTCATACTGAGTGATTTATTCGGTATGTATTGTGGACCACATTTGCATAATAATCAAAAATGTTAAAATTGGATATTGTAACCTATATATTTTATTCCTTGCTTTTTAATAGAGAATTAAATTTGTGGAATGTCATTACCATCATCATCATTATTACCATCATCATCATCATTACAATCAGAGCTCACTGCTGAGCAAAGGCCTCATCTCACATGTGGAAGGTTTAGCCATTAATCATCATGCTTTATAAAATATAGAAGACAATAATACTTATCGTTGTAAAAATATTGAGATAAAAGCAAATTAACTGACTTTTGAATTATTGAACATTAATAATAATAATTAGTTTTTCAAATACATAATGTTATAGCGACATTAGGTTTTAATTGTAAAGTTTTAAAATAATAGATAAGTGAAAAAAGTTTATTAAGTCTATAGTCTACCATCCAGTAGAGTCTTATACGTCTGATATAGGGTTTTCGACTTATAATTTTGAGAATATAGTTATTTTCATAATCTTTTCCTGTTTATTATTTGTTTGCAGGTACGGTTTCTCTCACGCGTCTTGTGTACGCAGTTAATTGAGGTCAGTATTTTTAAAACAATAATAGAGGTAGTTCTATACTTAAACGCTATTTAATTAAATATGTAGTTTGTATAAAAAAATATCACCGTGATGACAAATTTATCAAAATAAAAAAACAATAAACCGAATTTAAAAACTTTAAAAAATGAATATATTTCATATCTACTTTGATTTAATTACTTGTATGTATGTATTGAAAAGAATCAAGCAATTATTAAGTTAAATGAGAAGGCAACCTAGCTTGCTTTTATTTAATAAAATTTTTGGAAATAAAGAACAAATGATAACCCCACACACAAAAGACTTTTAACCTAGTTTGTATACTATGCTACTATATTTGAGATAATAAAGCGTTATGGCACAGTTCATTGGATTTTTTTTTATTATTTTTCCCCATTTTGAGGAAAAGAAAGAGGTAGTGAGATTTTCGGGCTAGAATGGCACTGAGTTTCTCACTGTAACATTAACGGATCTCAGGAGAGACTTGAGTGTACCACTATTGCGAGCAGCAGCTATACTAATGCTTTTCGCAACCTAGGTAGCAATCCACAATCTTCCCTGAACCTTTACAAAACCTTAACCGAGTACTACTACACTCGTATTAAAGGCTTCGGCTCAGTTAACATCAGGCAACCAAGCAACAGAGTCTCGGTGTTGAGAATAGGGTAGTGATATGATTTCAATGGCTTCTGCATGAGAGACCAAAGTACCAAATATATTTCCAGGTCTGACCTGGTAGATGCAGGAAACCAGCCTTGGTCCGACTCCAGCAAAGACTTGACAAGCCATATTCAACCCTCCACTTGGAGTTGTCAACCAGCGACCCAGACCACGCGAAAACCAAGTTCAAACACACAAGGTTTATAGAACGAAACGAACAGTGACGACGGAACTTCAAGTCTACCTTCAGTGAAGGGGTGCTACTTCTCCGGCCAAACTGTCCACAGACCATACCTAGGATGCACCAACTTGGAAGTATAACCGTACGTCAACATAAAACCATCGTCACCTTTTAATTAATTATTTAATAAGCGAAATGTGTCAATATTTTGACTTTCTTAATTCAGAAATATTATTTTCAAAAATGTGTCCCATTATATTCATTCTTCTATATCTAACATCATTGTTATGAAATAAATATACAATACACAAGATAATGCAACTCTGACAATAATTTCATTTGTTGCAGTTTCCTTCTTGGTTTTGTTCATATTATTTTAAATAAACGTATATTTTCAGCTATTGTATTGCTTTGCAGGATTTTCTAGTAGGACACTAATGGCGTGGCGTGAACAAAAACAAGATTATTTATCAACAATATAATCGTTTTGTATTTCAGTGACATATCACGAAATTTTTATTTCTGTCTGCCCTTAATTTTGTTCAATTTAGTTTGTTTCCTATTTTGGTATCTAATTTAATGATTTGTAACGCTTCAACGTAAGTCCTTAATATTTCTAATTTTACATAAAAACATTGCTGTTTTAGTAGCAGGAATCAATTCAATTATTTAACCACATTAATTTTATTAATTCGTTTACTAAACCTTTATATAATGAATATTATTCAAAATATATTATGTAATTTTTTTATTTTAATTTTTTTTACTATCAGTTGACACAAATTTAAGGTTATTCAGCAACTAGAGATAAGTTGTATTTTTTACATTCTACATCATGTCTGAGGAATGTTAATGCAAAGTACATTTTTCTATACACTACGCATATGTATACTGTAAATAACACCAGTCATTTTCATAACATAACAATTAATAGAAGAAGTTCTTCTTCTTCTTCTAATATAATAAAAAAATGGTCTACCTTTCACACTTTGTTCTTTAAAACTATTTACTTAATTAAAGTTTTGATTTTAAATTCTATATTTTAATTCTTTGGGGGTGTTTGACTGTATTTTAAGTTTTCTTACGTATTTTATGTACTTCGTAAGAAGATGTGTCATAATAATATATTTTAAATGCTATAATATATAGTATATACTAATATCTAAATAGAAAATATCTTTGGAATAAATATTTTTAAAATGGGTGTAACTAATCACATTTTAATAAATAATGGAAAAGTAATAAAAAACATTATTTTTATTTCTAAAATATATATGAAAGATAAGTATTTATATTTCACCATGAAATATTCCATCAGATAATTTTTTGATAAAAATATAAAAAAAAATCATCTCTTATCAAATATTACTTTCTGGGTATTTTTGTAAGGATTTTGCATAATATGTTAATATATTGTTATTATAGGAATTTTTGAAACATGTATGTGTCTGTACGAGTTCTAAGGATATAGTAATAAATACTATACTATAGATGAAGTATGTAATACATAACATGTTCGTTGGTACAGTGAAGCACCGTGTAATTTGAATACAACGTCGTGTTATATTTCACTGCACACTTCTAGTAGTTACACTAACTTAATGAGTCAGAAAGATGTTAATGGCTTAAGTAATTTTATACTTGATAATTTAACGTCTGAGCAGGAAGATGTCCTGAGTGCGACCTATTTAGAAAGAATGTAATACTATTATTCTTTGAGTTTTATTGTGTATGTTCAACTTTACGATTGTGGTTACTTAAGCAAAACTTATCGCTCGATGTATCACTAAAATTACTTACGTTGATGAAGTGGGTAATTTGAGAACAATTTTACTTGTCACAATAATCACTATTAGATACTATACGAAAACACGAAAAGGAATATTTTTGGTACGACAAGCCTCTTTGCGAGACATATATTTTACATGTAACTGCAAAAAATGTATATTAGCTTAGCATATAATAAATACACAAACAGACACATGTTAAAGTATATAAAAAGTTTAGATCATCAGTGCATAGTCCTAGAGATATAATGTAATAATAAAAATTCAATTGATACATCGCCAACCAGTCTATTTGATTCTCAAAGCATATGAACGCACTTGTAATAACAAATATAAAAAGACTTATAAATAGTATGAAAAAACATTAAAGACTAAGATTTTTATTTAGGTGGTAGAGCCTATCTAAGTACCAACTTCTCACAGAAGATAGGCGTAAAGTAGCCTTTAATGGCTGCGTTTAGTCCGATGATTAAGAGATCCGGTTGCCCTTTTCCTATTTCCACCCTTTCCTTCCATTTCCTTATTCCCACCCAACAACCTACTTCCTCGAAAAACCAACGTTTGCAACGCATTTGTAATATTTTTTAAGTTGCAAATGTCCATGGACGCCGGTGTCTACTGCCTATCACGTAGGCCGTCTGCTCGTTGCACAACTTTATCAAATAAAGAAAAAGATTTATACATTAAGATATAAGTGAGTACTATTCAAAATATATAACGTAAAAATAAATAATATCAAGACAGATTTTAGAAATTCTATGACAATAATCATAAAATTTTACAACCTCTTGCTGCCACATAAAGTAGTGTGAGATGTAAAAAGAAAAATTAATATTTTATATCTCGAAAGCCTCCATACAATAATGTTTGTTCACGCTTACGATACAACGCTGTCGTCTGAAATATGCGAATATTTATTACGTATATCCAGTTGAGTCTGAAATGGAAATGATGTATAGAGTTTTTTCAGGCTTTATTTTTGTTATAAATCCTTATTCTTTGTAAGTATAGTGTAATTATCTTCGTCATGATGTATTTAGTGATATATTACGTCTATTTAAGAGAAATATAACAGACGTGTACCTAAACAACATCACATCACAATCGTTCTCCCGAGAACAATTCTTTGCAATGATATACTAAGCCCCATTGTCGCATTGAAATTGCACTTCTGTAAAAGAATAACATTTTATAAGAAATACGTTTTCATACTATATTCAATCGATGACTTTTCGGAAACAAAGATCCTAAAAAAATCTATTCAAAGTTGCATAAAGACATTTGAAACTGTGTTTCTAATTGTAATTATTATTATTTAAATTAAATCTATATTGCACTACTATATAAAATAAAATTTTGTTATAGTAGGTTATCCTTTTAATTAAACTAAAGCGATATAATAAAAGGAGAAATTCATTATATGATAGACATTTTTTCGGTTCATGTGACCTTGTCTTTGTCATAAGCTATTGACAGGTGATCATTTCTATGACATCAACATACTATCCACCTTTAACAACCTTATGAAATGTGATATCTTTATGAAACATCGATAATAAATGCCTTTTAATCTTTCATGTACGAGTACTTCGACTTACCATGAGAGAGTAGTTGCTGTACCTTTGAAATATTCATACTGAAAATATTTAGTAATAGTTTTTACCTTTTCGTTTTATGTCTGTCAGCAGGAATAATTTATTATTAGCAATATCAATTGTTTTTCTTTGAAATTAAAATCTAAGCTCATAAAATCTGGATATATAGCGTAATCAACATAAAGTGAAGTTTTGTCATTTCTAAAACTGATTTCAAACTAGAAATCTTTTTATTGTTTTACCACATGTGATAATTTCAGGACATTTTATTAACAAAAAAATATCATTATCTCAATTAAATTGTAGAATTGTGGGTGTTTACTTTTATTAAGTGTATTGCTGGGGGGAGTCACTACTTCTATCCATCTGTAAATTGATAGCCATAATCCATCTATCATGAGTAAATGACGTAATGGTGTACTAGTAGTTAGTAGCGACTGACATGTGATGTCAATTTAACATGTCTAGAACACGGTTAACCAGACTTAAGTCTGTCTATATCGATTTTCTTATTATAAATTTCTAGACGTCACCTTCTTGACTTTGCTTCGTAACCTTATAAAACTTTCAACTTTAATCGAGACAAGAAATTTTATGTTTGAGAATTTTTCAAGATGCAAATTCAGACTTCTGTATATAGGTATCGGAAAAAATATGAGTACTTTTAAATTTTTTTATAGATATGAATGTCATTAGAAAACATAAATATATTGCCGGACAGTGTCAGAATATACTCATAAATGTAGAAATGTATGTTATTAAATTTAGTTACAGTATTATCTTGTTTGCTTTGTTAAAAGCCTGTGCGTATTGTAAACATTGTTTATGCGATTAACTCTTTATACGCCTTGTCTGTTAACTAAACCGAATTATGACTTTGTGATTTCATGTAGTTTGGAGCTCGGTACTCTCATATTTTTTCGAATTGGTATAAAGGGTGGATATCAAATAAACATGTAAATGTTTTTAAGAATCGTACGACAAATGCTTACGTAATTTATATTCCAACCTTGGTCCAAAAATGTTGGAACTTCCAGAAGTTATGGTAATATTAGTGGCACTTATTATATTCGCATTAAAAGTCCAACAAAGCATAATATTTTCAACTAATTATAGTCACGATATTTTCATGAATCCACAATTTATGCGCACGCCAAAATGCCTCGTACACTAACTTTATGCTCTAAACCGAATTATTTTATTTACGCTATTAAAATTTCTTAAAATGAATATATTAACCGAAATATGCACGTAATAAGTTTGGCTATAGGTATTATAAAAAATATTATAAATTATATTAATAAGATTAAGAATAGTTTTGTGGCATATAATTTTAATGTAACATTAGTTATATATGATATATATAAACCAGAAAAATGAGTAAAAAAGGCGTGGCACATAAAATTTACGCTTGTTTCGAAAGAGACAATATTTCGGATCATTTACACCCCGTACACGTAATAAACGTACGTATTACGAGTATACATTAGCCACCGAGGTCACTTGCCAGATGGCCACGGCTGTAAAACTCGCACTTACCAACTGGACTCAAATGGAATTGACTTGCTCTCATCAGTTACACTGTAATATCTGGCTTTTATTATGGCTTTTGTTTATTGCATCATTATTATTAGTA